CACTGCTAGCCAACTATGAAAGTCTCGCCTGAAGAAAACTACAAATAATACCTCAAATGGAAAATGTACAAAATACAATAGTCTCTTCTGAAGTAAGGGCAGTCTTCAGAAAGATAGAAATGGCTTTTCAAGACTATTTTATTTTACATTCACCAACTATGGTTGTTAGCATTTCCAGCTGAAGCCTCAATTCAGGGACCAACCCAATACAGTTAACTCAGAAGGAATGTATTGGTTGAATTAATTTTCCTTTATTTTTTGAGGTTTATTTTTTAGATACAGGAGAGGAAAAAGTGATCACTTGTTAGAACAATGTAAGCATATACAGATCATATTGGAAGGAAGTCCAGCCTAGAAACAAAGGTTTTAGATAAGCTACTACAAAATGAAAAAGGAAAAAAAGAAATAAGCATAAACACCTGTTTAAATGTCTTGAAGCTGCATGAGCAGGAAGACACATGAAACAGGCATTTCTATTTGACCATAAAACTTGTGCTACTTTAAGCAGTGTTACACTGAATTTTCTCAGGAGAGACAACGTGCCGATACACATATTATTTTCTTCTAAAAATTCATGTCTCGGCAAGCTATGTCTTCAGTCATGTGCAGCACTGTAAATTAGATCACTTACACCTATCATTAATGGGAATTTGACAGAGCCAAGCCCCAGGAATCTGATTTGAGTTACACATGGCCAGGGGTTGATTGATCAATGCAGACAGGCAAACAAAAGGACTACAGAGTGTATTTGATTCTTCTTTTTTTTTAACAAAACACAGCTCTAATGACACTGCTCATATTAAACTCCTACAATTGCATAATTAATTTCCCTAGGATAATATGCTTCTGTGATTTTTGGAACAAAGAACAGCAAAGCAATGAATCCTGCATGCCAATAAAACCAATGGGGTTTCACACAATTCCTCAGCTTTGTCTTTAGTTAGAGAGTTTATTGATCACCTTAAAATACAAGGGCCACTACATCCTCCACTGACCTAACACTGGGAGCACATCAAACTGCCTGGTGATTTACAGGAGAGCTAATGGCACCTGCTTCTGCTCAACTGGCATCAATCCTTTCTGCCCTCATACTCCTGCCAATATTTGTGTAAAAGCCTTCTTAATACCCAAATAATTCATATCACCTTTGCGTGAAATATGATCTAAACTTCTGATTCATAAAATTGAAAACACTTTAGCACACAAACTGAAACCCTGTTGATTCTTCTGTAAATGGGACTGACATTTTCCACATTAATTATCTTCTCATAAATACATCTTCTTATAAATAATCCCACATTATAAAATCGTCACAGTGATTTATTGATGCTTTACAAAAAACAATAGTTAGAAAATATTTTAAATCAAAAAAGCAACAGAATTATTAGAGTAATGTCCTGGGTTCAGCAGTAGCAGTCATTTTTCTCCTTCTTGGTAGCTGGTGCAGTGCAGTGTTTTGACTTTCAGCTTGGGAACAGAGCTGATAACAAGCGATGTTTTGGTTTGGCCAAGGACTTTGTGAGCCTCATGCTCTGCCAGGGAGGAGGGGAAGCCAGGAGGAAGCAGAGACAGGACACCTGACCCAAACTGACCAAAGAGGTATTCCATACCACAGCACGTCATGCCCAGGGTGTAACTGGGAGTTAGCCGGAAGGGCTGGGGGACTGCAGGGTTGGAGGAGGTATCGGTCGGAGCTTGGTTGGGCCTGGGGGGGGCGAGTTATCGGTTGGCTGGTGGTGAGATGATGTATTCTCTTCCCTTGTTATTTCCTTTATCATTATTATCATTGGTGGTAGCAGTAGTGATTTGTGTTATACCTTAGTTACTAAACTGTTCTTATCTCAACCTGTGGGAGTTGCATTCTTTTCGATTCTCCTCTCCATCCCTCTGAGAGCAGGGGGAGGGCAAGAAAGGGGGGAAAGTGAGCGAACGAATTACCTGACCGGGTTTAAACCACGACAAATGTTTAAATCAATAACTGTATGAAGAAGAAGCAAGTTTTAGGGTCTCCAAAATTCAGAGAGAATTCTGCCTCTTCAAAAGATTACAAGCTATTGAAAACCTGAGGCTACTTGTAAAGGAGAAAGGCACGTATCAGGGCAAAGATCCCTTTAAAAAATACATTGAGAAAAATCTGTACCCGTTTGGCACTCTGCGTAATATATTGCAACACTTCTGATCCAGTACACAGAGCTCTCAAACTAAGTATGACCTTGCTTGGAATAGCAAAGTTAATGCAGGATCCTCTCTCTCAGACAGCATTAAATGGAAAAATGGCAACGATGAGGGAAAAATTTCTTGCAGGCAGGAGAGAAGTATCTGGGAACATTAATGTTCTGCCATTGTAAATGAATGTTGTGTCAATGAGTCATGTCTTGGTGCTGTGAATAGGAAAAGGCCACAGAGCTGAAAGCCTCTGAATGGTACTGCTCAAAGGTTAACCATCCTGACCCTAGACAGGGAAAAAGCAACAACAGCAAAGAAGTGCTCCCTTTAGTTATCTCCACATTGAAACACAAATAATGAATTTTGTTTACAAAAATGAAGCCATTATTTACTAGTAACCATGCCAACTTCAGTAAAAATCTGAAGACATAGTCTGTGGGTAAGATGGAAAATTCTAGAAGGTTTTTGAAAATTCTGTATTCAATTTTTGGCTGAGTAGCAAAACCATTGACTTATACTGCACAAATATTTTGTTCTTAGTGAAAAAGTTTAGACTTGCCATTACTATAAAGTGGAGTAGGACTTCCCATCACGAAATGAAGGCCACTTTATCAGCACTTTGCAAACACTTCATATTGAAACAAGGGTCTCCAAGGTTCAAGGGATACATAGTTTATTTTAATTAGTTCCCACTTACAAACACTACTGTAGCGATGGATACAGTTATTGTAAACCTGCAGACACAAGAAATCCTTCATGTGGAAGGGCCTTATACTTTGTAAATTGTAATTTTCCTCTATCAGACTCAAGAGAACTGAATTTTGTGCAATGCTTGAATTCTGGTCAGTGCCTACATATACATCACCTTACAAGTGAACGCTTACGTTACACACCAGTTATAAAAAGACGTTTAAGCACAGCCACGCATGAGTTGAAGTCTGCCTGCTATCAGGTGCTTCCCATATACAAAGCAATTTTCCTTACACATGCCTGGCAAAGACAGACTTGTAAATACAAGATCGCAGGTAGCCATCAAACTGTAAAAACAAACATCCTCTGAAATGGTGTTAACAAAAATAAAAATAACCCATTTATTAAACAAGTTCATGTTCTGGTAAAATTATTTTTTATCATACTTACAAAACTTCCCTAAAGCCCAATCTCACCTTAATACTGGCAGGTTGTCAGGGTCACAAATAAACTGTGCTGCAGAAACACACCATGATAGCTCCATGCAATGCTAACTACACTGCTTTGTACCCCATTCCCCGAATCTGGCAGGAGGAAGGTTCATTATCTACCATTCAGTGAACACGACCAAGGCCTGACCTGTCCCTGTTTTGTATCCTGGGGAGGGCTTCTTTGATGACGTACCACTGGAATACAGCTCATATGCGCCTGTTCCTGCACAGTAACAAAGTTCCACACTTGAGTTAATAAGCCTACCCAGAAACAAGAGGCAAGGAAGGTACTATGCAGGTTTTGAAGAAGTCAGCAAGAGTCAAGGAGTAATACAATCTAGGTTTTTCCTTTATTAGATTATCCCAGCTTTTCATTATCCTCCTTCTAGAGAATGTAAATTGTCATCTCCTGCAAGATACTAAGCAAATGTCCCTCAACATAACTAACTTAAGAAGTTCCCACCATGCCTCTGCAGGATCTCCCCTCCTCCTTTTCCACCAAGATTCAGGGTGGATGTGCAGGAAGGTGCTGTGCCAGGTCACTGAAATGATCTAGGTTAAAAAGCAAAAGCCGTGTGGGCCTAAATATGTAATTCTGTAGTGCCTGGTTCTACAGACAACTAAACAAATGCAACACAAAAGGCAAGAAGCTGCCACACCAGGGAGCAGCTGCCCAAAAGTGCCTTAAAATCATTGTGGAGACAAAGAAAAGGCATCACATAACAACGCCCTTAGCAGAATTCCAGTTTGAAGAAGCCTCCTAATGCTCAGTGTATCAGTAACCCTATGAAAATCTAACTGTTCACTTAAACAAATGATTTTACACATTTTTCTTTAGTTGGTACTTCCTTAGGAAACAATACACTTTTCTGTTTGTTTCCCTAATGAACATACCTTAGAGTTATCAATCCCCCCCCCTTTTTTTTTTCAAGTTTACCTCCTCCAGTTTATTAGAAACGTCTCATTTGGCTTTCTAGTCTCCATTTCTAACATACTTAATGATAGGGTTTGGAGGCTTTGGGACAAAGAATAGAGATGGTCTGCTTCAACTTGGCAGAATGTTATTCTTTTCCCCAGTTGTTAATCTCAAGACTTTCTTCTTATGTCACGTAGAACAAACCTAGACAAAATATACTTTATCTTTTACTAACTCCTTTAAACAAAGGTAGGTAATTTTGAAAGCATCCTTTAAATCAACAAGTACAGTACTAAGCTGAGGTATTTTGGTATTTGCCAAAGCTGCTTTTGTTTTTTTTAAGCACACTGACAGTATCTCCCTCTTAGTTTCGATGAGAATTAGCAATTATTTTTTTTTTTACCATAACGTGAGTGACTGAAAACGTGAAAAGCCTCTCCAGTCCTGTTCTCTAAAGTAATATTTTCTAAGGAAAAAAGGCCAATTAAACAGATGGAGATATGAACAGAGGAGTAGATCTCCAAGCAAAGTAACAGTTCTTGCAGGCAGTTAACCTCACTGGAATTCACTTGCTGGTATGTGGCAAGAAAAAAAAAAAAAAAAAAAGCAAGCAGAATCCTGCCCACAGAAAGATTAGGAAATCACGACCATAAAGTGTCAAGTTTTGGCCAGTGCAAGGTTCGAAACTTCAGGATGAAAACTAAAACACTGAGAGAAATTTAAGAAATGACACGTACCTTATCTACTGGGAGAAAGTCATTTTCAACTTCTATTGACCTTGGTCGTAGCTTTATAGGTTTGTCTTTGAAGATATCTCCAAAGCCAACACCCTTGACCTTTTTGGGTTGGATTGTCGTGCCTCCATTGGCTCCTTCTGATTTTGTGCTGCAAGAGTCACCACCATCACTCTCAGAGCCCGCAGCATCTTTTAAGCCTATGAAATGGAGGGATGAAAGAAGGAATCTTAGGTGTGAAGCTCATTATTTTCAAAACAGATTGTGACTGGAAGATTCTCCCTCCCACCATCCTCTATAAAGAAAAATGAAACCAGAATAAAGAGGTAGAGAAGATGCTCTCTGTGCCATGTGCTCATTTTTGAGTTTAAAATATAACTTAATTTCATGCCATTGGTGTACCACTTAGAACTTACACCAATCCACAAAACATGCATCCTCCAGCATCAAAACTTCATGGCCATTCTCTGAGTACCAAGAAAATCCTTCTTCCTCAGACAAAATTTATTTGGAAGAGAACTCAGTAAATGAAAGAGTTAAGTTCAGTTGTAGAGCAGCTATTGTATAAAGCCACTTCAAGCCAACAAGCAATCAGACCAGGTGCACTGTACCTTAAATCCATGACTCATATCAAACCAATTATGGAATTAGTATCTAAAGCTACATTACCTGAGAAATATAAAGCTGAAAGCTGGTCAAAGAAATTTGCAATCAAATAAGCTGCATAATGTGTTCCCTGCTGAAAATTAAATCTCTCTGCAGCATAGACAGCCTCATAAGCACCCATGCACACTATCCTCTAGGAATACAATAAATCAAAACTGACATTCTGTTTTGCATTACTTCTTACAGTGAATAGGAAAATTTATCTGCACTTATCTGAAAATATCTGCTGTTTGAATAGCAGAGGCCAAGTATGTAATATGGTGATGCTTCAGCCATTTTACAGAATGGTGCAGAATTAGGCCAAACAGTCACTGGCAGCAAAAGTGACCAACTGAAGTTTGCTTCAAACGAAACAGCCCCTTAGTTCATTTAAGTTTTCTTTCCTAGATTACATATTGACTTAATTACGTTTCCAGGAAACCCACAGCAATTGCTGTTACTACAGCACTAATTCTAGCTAGTAATAGCAAACTCAAATCCTCACATTGCCCTCATAAGCATTTGTGGATCTTACAAGTCAAAGAAAGAAAAATCTCAAAGCAGCTTATCTTCTGAACTATTTTTATATCAGATCCACAAATTATAGCAATGAATTTTCATCAGAAAAGGCTGCTAGCATAGAAAATTCTTATTTAAAATCTAGACACCTAAAATAGAGATTTTATACAAATCTCTTTGTCTTGTCCCTTTGTTAAACAAAGTAATGTTACCCAAAAAATTTCTGTATTTCTGACAAAAGGAATGATACTAAGATGGACAAAGTCTACTGGATCCCTATAAGGCCTGCAGCTTAAGGAGCATGCGGGAAGTTTTAGAAAATCTTCATAATGCCTCAGTTTTTACAATTCTCTGATGTAAAATTCTGATGTAGCAACAGAAACAGAATGAAACTATTCCTGAGCTGAAAGCACCTGAATATAATTTCCAGCCTACACTAGAACAACCCTGCAAAACCAAGCAGAGCAATTAAACTGAAGAAAAAGTATTTTGAAATCAATGAAAATCTTTATGGATAAAATTTTAATATTAACAGTTGAGTCCTTTGCTTTTGCCTCCCTGACTCAAGTGATACCTTTGGTTTTAACAGTCTCCATCCAAAAACTTTCTGCCTTTCTGGTGAGCAGCAATTAATTGTTTAGAAACATGATTACCCAGTAAAAGATAGCAGCTTCTTCAAGGGCTATTTTAAGCTTCTCCAACGAACCATAGAAACCAACGTAATCCTAAGGCCTACAGGCACAACTTCAAGATCTAGGAATCAAACGGGTCATCTGTTAAATTGGTTTCAAAACCAGAGCGCTGCTAAGAAATGAAATCAGGAATTATGTATCAAGCCAGGATATTTAGCAAAACTGTTAAGCAGAAAAGTCATTATATGCTGCTCTCAGATCTTCTGTATCTGAAACATGAGTGTAAGACTGGAATTAGAGAAAGTTCCCAATCAGAAACAAACAAAACGACTAAAGACTAATGAAAATGCTTACTCTGTCCTCCTCAGTGGCTGCCACATCTACCTATTGAACATAAGTAACATAGTGATCTTGATCTCTTTACTTGGCCTTTTTATTTTTCCAAGAAGGGCCATGAGAAGAAACTTCAAATCTGGTTTCACTTATTTATTATGGTAGTTAGAACGGTAGTATTCCTACCAGCAGTGAAGTAAATTCTGTGTGTTGCTTCTTTTCCAGACCTCATGAGAACAATAATTAGGAAATTCAAGCATGCAGTGCAACCCTCATCTGTGCTGTGGATGGCAGCAGGAGAGTGATTAACTGTAGTCAAGCCATTCCACAGTGCAGAGGCACTCAAAGTAAATAAAGTAAGCCAAGAAGGTATAAATCTCTTCAGGCAACACAGCAAAGGCACTGCCTCTTTCTTATTCCTACACCTTGTTGTGACTTAGGCAGTAACAGAAGAAGCTGCAAGTTCTAGAAAACTGGACCTCCCCAGCTTTGCAAAATACCAGTTACTAGGGCCCTGGCCAAGACAGACATTAGAACCAATTTTGTTTACTACTTCTAAATGCAAAGAGAATGGTCACCAATCAACTATATGGACTTACTAATAATATTTCTCAGTTTAAAACATCCACACCTAGAACTCAAATCACAGTTACTGATGCAGAGGGTTGACCAATGTAGAGGGGGGTTGTACAAGAGGGTTAGAGGAATTCGATTGCTTAAACAAAAGTATTGTCTGTTGTAAATGCCTACTAAGCAGAACAAAGACACCTGGTTCTATTGACAAGGAAAAGCAGACACCTGATTCTATTGATAAGAAGCTATTGATAAGGAAAAGAAGAATCTACTGATAAGGGGGAGAAGCAGATGGTTTATGGCTGGGACACTGACCAAACCCTAAGGCCATACGTGGAGACTAACAGGTGAAAAGTTCAGGAAGAGGAAGACTCATTTACTTCATCTTGAAGACCCCTACCCACAGGAGGAAGACTTGTTTACTTCATCTTGAAAACCCCTGCTCATGACCAGAGGGGACACTGCGTGTGCGCAGAGGACCTTCTAGCTCATTATAATACGAAGCGGGGATTGGACATGAATATGTATAGGCATATTGTGCAACTTTATGAATATATATAACTTTAGAGAATAAATGTAGAGGGAAACAACACTGAGGCTCCATGACTTTGAGGAATTATCCCCGTGCATCTCAGCGCTGAATAAAAAGCATACCTACTTTACAACTTTAACGAGTTGTGGAGTCTATCTGAGTATCATTACCATCGTTTCTTTGCTGAACAAAAGATCTTGATAAGGGATGGGAAAATTACCCTCTGGCAAACGTTCCTTCTTTCATCCTTGCCAAAATCTCCTCAAACTACTCTGTGATGGAGGGAAAAGGCACTGCAGAAACCTTTCTCCACAAGTAACTGGATTTTTACTGATAAGAGTCCATGACTGCTCTTAGCCTCTTCATGAAATGAACAGAAAGACAATCTTTAAAACAAGGAATTAAAATAAGATTTTCTGCATCACTAATTGTGGGAGAAGAGGACCTAGACCTTGGCTAGTAGATGGAAGTTAATTATCGGAATTATGCATGAGTTCTCACATGGACTTCCAGATCTTTGAAGCCTTCATGAAAGCAGCTCAGAAACCTCAAGGGGCTTCATTGAGAATTAGGCTTTTGTTTCTGCGTCATCACTTGTTTTTCATTATTGCATCTTCATCTTTTATGACCATTCTTCTGTGATGAAACATCACACCTTGTATCAGAAACCCAACCTCAGGCTTACAACGGATTTCCCTAGCATCACCCATCTGTGCTTGATATAATCCAAAAGTAATTTGTCTCTATGCTGCCACAGAGCTTAGCCTCAGCACACAACCCTCATAATGAAAGCAACATAGGATATAACTACTGCTTTTTCTTTTTTTTTTTAATTACTTTTTAATTAGAACAGAATGGACTGAAGTGATGCCTGTCCAAATTAAACTGCTTTTGAATGGCTGGATACAGAGGCCAGCCTTACAAAGCCCTTTCAAACTTAGAAGAATTCTTCCTGTCAACTGGAAAAATGACATAATTTATCACTTTTTGACTGACACAAACTGAGGAGACCTCTGGACTTAAATAGGTAAGTAAGAGTAAAAGCTCTAGCTTTTCCAAGAGCTAGTCTGCTCCTGCTCTAATCATTTCATGGCTGAGGGCAAGAAGCAAAGGTGACAGAAGAGGAGGACTACACACAGTGGAAACTAAGAACAAATTAGATAAAATTAAGATCTGTATTAATAAACAATAATGCACTACAAAACAGTCCCTAGGCCTGCCTACACAAGGAAGGGATGGCTGACAGCTGAAGTCAGAAAAATGACAGCTGAAGCAGAAAAATGTCTCTCTTCCAACCACCTCCTTTGTTTTGTTTGTTGTTTTCTTTTTTACCCCCTTCAGCTTTTCATGGCCTTTTTTTGCCAACACTGCAAACAGCTTAATAGGAGAACAGAGCTGGTTGGATAGTTTCCCTAAAAGCCCAAGGATACAGCTGGGAACTAGGTAGGAACCTGAGTGACTCAGACTGTGAGATTATGAATTTTAAACACAAAATTTTCTTCAAGAAAAGCTATAGTTAGCAGGGAGGTCAGGTTGCTAAATGGGCATTAAAACCTGATCAGTTGGCACAGTGATCTGCTGCTGCTGCCCAGTACACCCACCCAGTATGAAACAGCTGTGGCAGATCCATGAACTTGAGCTCTAAGGTAAGGTCTGCAGCTCAGAAAACAGCTATCCTCAGAAGCACTGAGCACATATTGCTTTTATTTTAAGTCCAGTTATTTAACACTTCAAACATAACCAGGATAGGATAAAAGCTACAGTACTCAGGCCTTGGTTTTGCTGTTCGCTTTTGTGGTTTTTTTTTTTAACATCAACTTTTCTAGAATCAGTCTGTCAGCATTTGGAAAGCCAGCAAGCTAAGAACATAACATCAACCAGGTGCTCACTAACGTGCCTGCTATCACACCGGTCACAATAAATAGTACGAAAATTTTTCAGATTCTTAAAATTTCTTTTGGAAGGA